GTGCACAGTCCAGTAGCCCTTTCATTAAAATGTCTTGTATCTCAATAATTGACATGAACCTCAAGTCTGCAAGAAAAATTCTGCATCCATACACCGCTGTGCGCTCTTATGACTGTTTGGCCTTTGTTGGGTTTCTGCTTTGACACAGCCAGTGTCATTAATTGATCTTGGCTTTACTTTTGTTTATGTTGTTTATAGTCAGTCACTTTAAAGAAAGGAGAAACCAATAACCATCTGTTACTGACTGAGCAGTGCAGAGTGGTCCTCTTGTATCCTGTTGTAGTTTGAGTGTCACATCCCTTTTTGTAATTTTTATTGACAGCGACACTTTTTTATTAGATTCTTGGAATTTTCCCAGGGGTAATTGTGTCCCCTGTATAAAAAGGTTTGATCTGAGAATGAGACTGCAAAAGAAAGCTGCTAAATCCAATGTATCGTTGTAACGGCACGGTTGTTTTCAGAAATTGATAGCCATCGTGCAAAAGATTGAAAATATACCATAAGCAGCAGCAACATTTAAGTTAATGATACACTAGATAACTATGGTTTCTATAATACTATGGATGAAGAGATGCTTTGAACATAAGCAAATATAGGAAGGTCAAGAATATATTGAAATATATGAAGGTCAAGAATATATATTGAATATATTGAAATTTTGGCTTCATCTTCTAGCATAATTATTGAAACCAAATGTTTATTGTTTTTATGTATTTTGTCCAGAGCGTGAGGACATTTTCTATCATGGTTGAGAGATTTTTACACTTTGGTTATAAACTCTGGTGCAATTCTAATTAGTTTCACGACTAATAAGGGAATACACGGTCTTTTGATTAAGCCACTGTTTAAGACCTAAGAAGTGTTATTTTCTGGCTCTGCCACACATTTTGTTTTTTAATTTAGAGAAATCTCTTAAACTCCAAACTTCAAATCTGAGTGGCAAAATATCTACTTCTAGCTCTATGTATTGACAGCTAAATAAGTGGCCCAATTCTTAGATCTGCTGGGTAGTCTCACATCACATTGAAGTAAGGCTTCATCAGTGAAAAGGGGATGGAGTGCACCCTCAGTAGGTTTGTAGATGACACCAAGCTGGGGAGAGTAGTAGATACACTGGAGGGTAGGGTTAGGATTCAGAGAGACCTAGACAAATTGGAGGAACGGACCAAAAGAAATCTCATGAGGTTCAATAAGGACAACTGCAGAGTCCTTCCATGCAAATTGCTCCATCCTGTACTTAGGATGGAATAATCCCATGCACCGTCACAGGTTGGGGAGCCAGTGGCTAAGCAGCAGCTCTGCAGAAAAGGACCTGAGGACAATAAGCTGAATGTGAGCCAACTGTGTGCCCTTGTGAAGAAGGCTAATGGCATACTTGGTTGCACTGGTAGGAGTGTTGCCAGCAGATTGAGGGAAGTTATTATTCCCCTCTGCACTGATGAGGCCACTTCTGGAGTACCGTGTCCAGTTTTGGGCCCCCCACTACAGAAAGGATGTGGACAATTTGGAGAGAGTCCAGCACAAGGCAAAGAAAAATGGTTCGGGGGCTGGGGCACATGGCTTATGAGGAGATGCTGAGGGAACTGGGCTTATTTTGTCTGGAGAAGGGAAGACTGGGAGGGATTTAATAGCAGCCTTCAACTACTGTGTCCAAGAGCTGTGTGCATGGTCACAAAGAGATTGGAGCTAAATTGTTCTCAGTGGTGGCAGATGACAGAACAAGGAGAAGTGGTCTCCAGTTGCAGCTAGGGAAGTTTTGGTTAGAGATTAGAAAAAAAAAACCTCATGAGAAGAGTAGTGAAGCACTGGAACAGGTTACTCAGAGAGGTTGTGGAGTCTCCATCCTTGGAAGTTTTTAAGACCCAGCTAGACAAAGCCTTTCTTGGATGGGATGATCTAATTGGGGATGGTCCTGCTTTGAGAAGGGGCATTGGATGAGATGACCTCCTGAGGTCCCTTCCAACCCTCATTTTCTATGATTCTGTGAACATGACCCAGAGAATCTCAGTCTTTTTTGAAATCAGGACAGTTTCATTTAGGAGCCATCAGGTTTGAACATCTTGGTTATTACACTTCTGTGCTTGGATTTCCTATCTATAAAGTCAATATTATTGGTATTGCGGTAGTCATTAGGAGCTTCAATTATGGACAGAGGCCCTACTGTGTATGATAGTAAGACAGTCCATGCACCAAAGAGCTTAGAATACAAATGAGAAAGCTCCCCGTTTTCAGAGGGATGCTTTAAGACTAATTTTTTTAGTGCCTGTGATGCATATAGGTATTGCAATGGAGGTGTCATACATATACATCCCTATCACCACAGTATCTTGAATGATTTTGGTAAGAGGTAGGGCTGTACTGCACCCCACAGTTTAAGGCATAGTCAAACCAAAAGTTATATATTTTTCTTTTCACCCTTTATGGCAATACATATCAGTTTTTTTTACTGACTGTGTTATTCCAGATAGCAGAAGATTTTTACCAAGATGATTGTCTATCTGATGAGCGCTGAATTTTCGGGACTGATGAACTGGCTGAGCACCATTACCATTATGGCTTTAAGGAGAAACAAATCATCCAGATTCCTGAACCCTACCCCCAAATTTTAGTGCAGTTAAAGGAAAACTGGAGCACTCTTGTCTAGACTTGTACAGTACATGCTTTTCCAGAGGGGCACGATATTGCCTTTCCTTCAGGATTTCTCCCCATCTTCAGTGGCACATAGCCAATCTCTAGTGATATGATATCTACTGCCATCTTTGTGACTCCCTGATAAAGAGCTTTGATTGCTTCTACACAGATGGCTTTTGCAGACAGTGATTTATAGAAACTGTTGTGCTCCACATGTTCCACAAGACAAAATACACGACAAATAAATCCTTTGTATCCAGAAACCAAAGCCAACAGCAACAAAGATACTTGTGTCTGTTATCTAAAGGCAGCCCAAGAAACTATAGCAACCCTACCCAAGAAAACCAAAGCATTTTCTATAAGGATACAAAGGCAGAAACAGCACATAATGGAAATTCAAGTGATAGCCCATTGCAAACTTAGTCTTTTTTATTTCTACCTTTAAGGAGATTACAGTCCCAATACCGTCAAAGGCATACACACTTGTTAAGCTTGATTCACATGAATAATCTCTTTGGCTGCAGTTGGACTATATATGTGTTTTTGTACACATGTACAGTCAAGTGCATTCTCAGGGTTGGGGCCAAAATTATGAAGAAAAGTGGGACACACTTTTGAGATTTCTCTCTTAATTGCAATCTAGCTGTTGTAGTTTGGAATTTAAAAAAGGTTAGTTAACAGTATTTCTGTGTATACAGGTGTACGTTACGTGCTAAGAGATGCTATGGGTACCTCTCTCCATTGAAACATAGCAACAAGATACAGAGAAATATAAATCGGGGCCTATTAATACTAACTGTATTACCAGAGTGTTTAGCTGCACAAAAGAATGGCAAAGTTTTGGCTTTTCACCAGATGTTGCAAATCTGCAGAGAGAACCAGGTTCATTATGATACAGGTGTACGTTACGTGCTAAGAGATGCTATGGGTACCTCTCTCCATTGAAACATAGCAACAAGATACAGAGAAATATAAATCGGGGCCTATTAATACTAACTGTATTACCAGAGTGTTTAGCTGCACAAAAGAATGGCAAAGTTTTGGCTTTTCACCAGATGTTGCAAATCTGCAGAGAGACCCAGGTTCATTATGCCAGCCACAGTGGGGCATGTGTGCCTCGTTAACACCACCTGAGCAGGAGGGTGGTCGAGTAGCCCTAAAGGAAAACTGGAGAGGTTCATGCTTGTTGTGGCCCAGAAAGGAGAATTTTAGGTTACAGCTTGATGATCTTAACTTGAACTGCTCACGGTGATACGTTCAAAGGTAAGCGTAGCCTTTTTGGGGAGCAGTTAAGAGCTCAGGCACTTGCAAGTCAAATAGCATGAGACAGTATTTGGCAAGCGACATGCTGCATTTTTATATCCTATTTTAAGACCTCTAATGCAATAACCCTATGGTGGATAGGATGGGTATAGGAAGCAGTTCAACTGTTATGAGGAAGGACAGTCTTTATTGTTTGGTAGTTCACCGTTGCCTCTTCCCTCTCAAAGTTTGAGACCACTCTTGGGTAGAAAATAAGGAAAAGTGCAGTATTTTTAAGGTAAAAATGACACACAGGTATGTAGAATAAGCATAATTTGGGAAGCTGGAGAGTGACTGTTACTTGGAGAAGAATATTTAATCATACTACTCATCATCACTACCTCCTTAGTTCATGCACTGTTGTCTAAGAAACCTCATTCTTACTTTTGTGCTTTTGTGCATGGCTTCAAATTTGTAAGATTAAATCTGGACATCTGATTCATTTACACTAGCAACTAGGTAATGAACATCTGAAAGTAATGCATTTTGTTTATCATTTGTTGAATTTATTTCAGAAATGTAAAAGTCCTGGTAGTTTCTTGATATGCAGAGAGGAGTGGCAATTTGTTAACAGAGTCCCTTCCCCTTGAATTGTGCATTGAGCAGTGCAGTACTTATATTCTTCATTGTTTCCCTTCTGCTCAGAGGAGGCAATGTTTTGATGATGCTTGTATGAAGCAAAATGACCTTTGAGAATCGCTTAGTAATTACTTGGGATGCAAGGCACTGAATTAATGTACAAAATATTGTAATGAACTAGATAACATTAAATTACATAATTATATTCTTGTCCTGTCTTGGGTAGGTTCTGAACTATTTTCCTGTGTTTCATAGGCTCTGTGTTGCAAACAGAGGCTTGTCTGTGATTTATGCTGGACTATCTGAGTTCTGGCCTCAGCATTTCCATGAAATCTTGGGTGTCCATAGTATGGAGCATTGCCAAAGCCATGCAGTGATAGATGGCAGAGGATAATTCATCTGTTGAAGCTTTCAAAAGTATTTATATTGAGTTTTGTTTCTCTGTTTTGTTCTAGTTTAACATTTTCTTTTGTTCTTTCCTTTTTAAGCTCAACAGAATTCACCAAAAATCCATGAAGGCTGGTGGGCGTATAAGGAGGTGGTCCAGGGAAGCTTTGTTCCAGGTAAGCACGGCTTTAAAAATCCAAGCTTTTAATAAATCATTTTGCTCTGATAGTGGCACCATTTTGTCCGTGTATTATAGGGGGTGAATATACATATGTAAACGCTGATACATTACAAAAAATAGCATGAAGCTTTTGTTGGCACATTAGCTGAAGACCCTGGCTGTCTTTTTTCTAATAGGTGGTGTACAGTTATCGGTGAGACTCTTGCTATCACTTAGTGTTGAGTGGTCTTCTGCTAATTTTTTAAAATGTGCACCTAGATTGACTTGTCGTTCAGTTGTGAAAAAAGCAGGTGAAGGGTGGGGGGCATCTCACAGTAGGTGGCCAGCAAGGCAGGTTCCTACAAATAGTGAACCAACAAGGGAACAACAACAAAACCCAAACCTAACATGCAAGCTCCCAATTATTTTTCTTCACATAACAAGGAACAATGGGGAAAGTGCTCCATTATCTACGTTCCTTAACTGAGATAAGGCAGCCTCACTAGGGATTTATATTACAGGCTGTCCTCGGACGTATGACACAATTGGTTCCTGAAAACCACGTCTTAAGTCAAAACTTTCTAACTCAGAACCAGTTTTCTCAGAAGAAACAGTGTTATAAATGGGGGATTGGTTCTTGAACCAAGGCCCGATACCCTATTTTCACCAAAAATACCCCAGAATTTTGTACTCGATCAATTATAGGTGAGTAATACAGCTACATTTAATGTATTTATATTGTAAATAGCAATCATATTGATTTGGAAGGACTTCTTTGAGGCGACTGCTGGACTTTTTGAAGGGCTCTTGGTTGGGGTGTTGAAGGGTTCTTGGCTGGAGTCCTCTCAGGAGTCTTGGCTGCAGGTTTTTCTGGAGTCTTGTCTGCTTGCTTAAAGAAAGCGTCCAAGGAAATTTGGACAGATGTTCTCCAGGGAGATGGGTGACACAGCGAACTTGTTAACTGGCATAGCATTGCATCGGATCAAGTGTTGTAAAGTCTAAATTGACGTCAGAAAGTTGAAACGGGATGTCCATTTATAAACGTTGTAAGTGCGAAACACTGTAAGTCGAGGACTGCCTGTATTGTTACTGAATGGGAGCGTATGCTCGACTAGCCATATCTAGTTATACAGATCTCCTCAAATGGATGCTCTCCAGGATGCTGGGCTGGGAGTCTGCAAGCTTCCCTTGGTCTGAATAAGCGGCATGGCTTTCTCTTGGCCTCTTGAGCAAGTTTCTGGTACACAAGCTCTTTGTCTGTTATCTTCCATGAAAATAGGACCTCTTAGCCTGGTTGTCCCCAGGCTTCTCAGTAGCTTAATTGCATCCTTTCCAAGACATCCGACCTTGTAGGATGTGCTAGGTTTAACAGACAAACAATGCTAACTTTGAACGGGTTTCAAAACCCCACCACTCTTTAGCTGGCCCAAGAAACAAACTTATGTAGACAAAACGACCCACACACCTCCCCAAATTTCCTTGCCACACTTGAATATTCTTTGGGCTTTGGCCAAAACCTCCTAAGGACTTGAGGATTCCCCTTCCGTATATGATTTCTGTTAAATGATCAAGTTTCTCTCTTCTGCAGCATGTCTCCTACTTCTCTGGTTTGTTATACAGTTAAATTGGATTCCTCTTCTGCAAATGAATGCTCTTCTGTATTTTTTTTCCACTGACTAAAGTTCCTGTTTCCCCCTTAGTTCTCCAAAGTCCCTTCAGCTTCCCTGCCCTATCCTCCCTTTCCATTTTACACAAACCATTTTTGCTGGACTAGTGTACCTAGGCTGTAGCCATTTCACTGTCCTAAAGTGCTCTTCCTCGAATGAGAGCTGTTGCGGTTCAGTGACCCTCCACTATGAAACTTCCCAGATGGCACGTGATTATTTAAACAGCAATACAACAACTCTGTAATCTGGAAGTTGTAATCTATATGTAGACACATTCCCCAACTTGTCAGACCAGATGTCACCCAGACACAAAACACAGCAGTTGAAATAGGATAAAACTTTTGCAGAGACCCATATGCTAAGACACTGGGAGTAACTTAAACTGAATGGTGAGGTTAATTTTTCTTCCTGTTACCTCTTGTTCATTATGAAAGTGCTTTGAGACTGTTCATTGAGGGAGACGTGTGTGAGATTTGGTGAAAAAGCAGAATGGAAACTACGGGATGCATTTATGTATTCTGTTAAATGTGAACTGTTGGGCCAAACAGCCTGGGGAAACTGCCCGTGCCTACTTTGAAAGAGTGAGAACTCCCTGTAATGATGGGAAGAATCCAATACAATAGTCTGAAATAGGTGCTCTAGTTACTAGCTCAGTAGGACTGGAGAATTAATAGTGATGTAGGGCAGATCAGGTAGGGATGATAAATATGGCAAGTTCCACCACCTTAGACAGTCAGTTTGGTTGAAGGCATATAGCACTAGTTCTCAACCTTTTTTAGACTTGAGGCACTGTTTGGAAATTGTCAGCTCTTTGTTTTCACTTGTTTTTGACTCTGAAAAGATATAAGAGCAGTTTTGAGATGCAGAGAACTCAGAAAGATCACAGCAGGCCAGGGTGTTTTTAGTCTATGTATTCCTGTTTGAAATGTGTGGATTTATCTTGCAGTCATGTTTGCATATCTGACAGTGCACCCCTTAAAAAGCTCTCAAAGCACCCTGATATTTAATATATGGTAAAATGCTAGCTGTTATTGTTACTGCTAATAGGATATTTTTTTCTAAGCTTTAGAACAATTATTTTAAGTGACCAAAATGTGCATCCCTTCCCTTCTTTCAGGACATCAGTGTGTAGATAAGCCAATGCTTTATATTATGAATGTAACATGAATAATTCTGCATGGGCTTTATTTCCTTGGCTGTCTAGAAAATAGCACATTCAGTTTTGTGCAAGCTTTCACAAGAATTTCCAAATTTGGTCTCATGTCATATTATGCCATTGTTACCAGGTCACCTGTGATTTGGTGATAAGATTAGAAAAGACACACCCCAGATGCTGCTAAATTATTTTGACATGAGGCTATGGCACAAATGAGATGAAGATTAAGATAGGGGATTTGGGAATGGAAAAATGTGTGTTATAAAGAGCTGTGCCCATGGTCATAAAAACATGATTACGTGCTGATACGGTTTGAAGCAGGTTCTTGGATTTATTTGAAATTGCTTTTGGACTGTCAAGGACATTGAAGTGTATTATTCTGCGTGCTTAGTTGCTCAGGTCAGTAATGGAAAACAGTCTGGAAGATATAACAACC